TTGAAAGGGTAGAGCGGTGGTGTGAAGGAGCGTCTGCTGTGGGGAAGGAAAGGAACAGGCAGGAGATGATATCTCACACATGCGCTGGAACAAGCTGAACGCTCATTCGTTTAGTAGGCACTCGGTAAATGCTGACTGACTGATTAAGACAATTGAGACTTAGTATTGTTTGCGGTTTGCTAATACTGTGCTGAGCATTTTATACATATTCTCATTTAACTCAATATAGTCACTTAAGGAGTAGTGTTAATCTCATTTTATGGTCTGTGGGAAAACTCAAGTCACTTACCTGAGACCTCCGCATTAGTAAGTGGTGGATCCAAGGTTAGAACTCAGTCCTATTCGAGTCCAGAGCCCATGCGCCTAACAGCGACATTACATGCCTCCCGCATGAGTTTAGGAGTGAAGGCAGAGTGCGTTAAGAGGCACCGCTTGTGATTCACAAAGGGCAGAAGCAGCAGGGGCCAGTCAAAGGCAAGCCCTGTCTGACGACTGGAAGATTCCCTCTGACCAAGGTGTGCCTCAGCTGGAGACTGTGAAGACATCAGTGAGCTTGTGTTCATCGGCCAGTGAGAAAATCTGTCCAAGAGAGGCTTAAATGATGAAGATGAGGCAGGGTTTGTTCCAGAGTTTGTTGTGAAGTGCCAGGGCTCTAGAATGTGTCTCTGACTTTCCTTTGTGGTCACTCCATTCCCCTTACTTCCCTTCAGATGCCTCTTGGCAAGCTTCCCTTAGCATCTCGGTGACGAGAACTGGGCCTTGCGGTCACCTAGAGCCGAGGGAAAAGGGCGCATTTCCTCCTGAACTAAACGAAGGAATTTGTTTATGTGCAGAGGGCTGTGAGGAGGTGACTTGCTGTGTATGCCGAGGCCAGTTGGGAAGGCTTTTGTGGGAGTGACATATGTCACTGCTAAAATAAAACCAGATTTGTGGTTTTAGATGTCATCTGTGTACTGACAGTTTTCAGTATATACCCACCCAGCCCAACCTCACTCTTGAATTTTCAATTTGTATATCCAAATGCCCTAATTTTCCATTTGTAAATCTAATAGGTATCTTAAACATTACTGTATACAAGAAAACTTTTACATTTAATCCTTCTGCAGTCTTACTCATTTGAGTATATGTAAATTTCATCATTTCAGTTGCTCAGGCCAAAACTCTTGGTGTCTCGGCCTACATGAAATTCATCTGCAAATCCTATTGATTGTACCTTTGAAATGTATCCATAATCTGACTGCTTTTTGTCACTTCTGCCACCACCAGTCTAGTCCAAGACATTCATCTCTAGCTGGATTGTTGCTAGAACCTTCTGACTGGTTTTTGTTTTTTCCTTACCCCCACCCCATAGTCTATTCAAAGCACCCTCAAAGCAGCAGCTGTAGAGACCACATCTGAGGTCATATCACTCTTCCCAGACATTCCAGGCACTTCCCATCCATTCAGAATAAAACGCATAGCCCTAAGGCCCGCAAGGTATCCTCCCCAGAGGGTACCCACCTATTTCACCCTCCCCTACTCTGTTCAGCCCCCCTGGCTTCCTTGCCTGTCCTTGAACACAGGTGTGCTTGCATCTCAGAACCTTTGCACTTGTGCCCTCCTCCTGCCTGGGATGTACCTCCCTGATATCCACATGGTGCCTACCCTCGCTCCATCCAGATCTCCGATTTGTTGTCACTTTATCGGAGGTGTCTTCCCTGGCCATCCTGTGTAAAATATCTCCACCACCAGCCGCTGCCTTCATGCTGCGGCATTCATTCTTTGTGTGTCACACATACATGTCAACTTCTCCATTTGCTCATTCACTGCCTCAGCACAAGAGCCTGGTCCGCTGTTCTCAGCTGTTTGCCCTCTGCCCAGGACCTCATAGGTGGGCCTGGGAAATGCAGTCCATTCTCTCTCCTGGCCAAGTGCACTGTGAGGGTCCTGGCTTTCACATGGTGGCCTCAAGATGCCGTCATCCCAGGGGCCTCAGGAAAGCCTCTCTTGAGACATGGAGAAGTATAGCAGGAAAGTGGGGAGGGGATATGATCTCAGAGACCACTGGCTACTTTTAGTTCATCCACCTTTCCTGGGGTGTTCAGGCAGCTCATAATTGGGTCTCCGCTACTACAAAATGTCTGGGCCCTCTTAGAGCACCTGTGGGGAGCAGAAGGTTGGTCAGGCTCCATCACCCTCTTCTCCCTGCGGCTCTGCCCACACCTCAGGACAAGCTCAGAGACCTAGTGATGGCTGTCATGCAGCTCCTTAGTGGGCTCCAGGTGAGTGGTCCTCATGGAGACTCTTCCATGTGACCTCAGCCTTTTCTTGGCAGGAGTCTGTCTATGAGGGGCTGGTCCCAGAGGGTGGACAGCTCCCTGTCTCCTCCGATGTCCTCTGTTCCTGAGTTCAAGTCCCTGAAATGTACTTCTCACTGTTTTCCTGTCCCTGGACCAGGTACAGTAGAGGTCAGGGTTGGGGCACACCAAGATGAGCCAATATAGTGTCTGCCTTAAAGAGTTGACATTAGTGGGGAAGACAGGTACATGTTCCCAGAGGGATTTTACCAGTCCTGAGCCTAGTGTCTTCTCCCTCCAGTTCCTGACCTGAGGGCTGCATCAAGATCTTGTCGTTCCACATCATGGTTTCCTTTGAGGATGTGGCTGTACTCCTCTCCCAGGAGGAGTGGGACTGTCTGATCCCTGCTCAGAGGGGCCTCTACAGGGATGTGATGCTGGAGACCTATGGGAACCTTGTCTCACTAGGTAAGTTCCCTCCCTGGGGCTCAGCTCCTGGGCTTCCTGCTCCTTAACCTTGAGGCTCAAGCTCGGGGCTCAGAGGCTCCTCATATTCTGGGACCAAAGACCAGACATTTTGACCCTGGTACCATGCAGGTCTAGTTTGCACAGAGATGGGAACAGGTGGTACTGGAGCCCTCCTTGATTTTTTTTTAATAGGCAGTGTCTCACTCTTGCCCATCCTGGAATACAGTGGCAAGACCATAGCTCACTGTAACCTTGACATCTTTGGTTGAAGAGATCCTCCCACCTCAGCCTCCCAAGTGCCTGGGACTATAGACAAGGGCCACCATGCCTGTCTTATTTTATTTTTTTAGAGACAGATCCTGTATGTTGCCCAGGTTGGTCTCAAACTCCTAGCCTCAAGGAATCCTCCCACCTTGGCCTCCCAAAGTTCTAGAATTACAGGCATGAGCCAGCATGCCTGACCAACCCTCCCTGATGTATAGAAGGAGAATATTATTCATTGCACAGTTAGTACATTCCTATCCCCGAATTAATCTTTCTGCATCTTGAAGATCAGTGGTAGGATACACAGTTTATAAATGAACCTGAGGCTAACAAATACTGTCACTTTTCATAAGTTTACACAGCCTATTGGTGGCAGATCTGGGATTTGGATCTGTTTAGTTTCAGGGCCCTGCTTTCCTTTCACTGGAATGTACTCTTCCCTTTAGCCCTTTTTTTTTTTTTTTTTTGGTTTCTGCTAGCCTTTATTTGAGAAAATTTACACAAAAATCCCCAATCCAACATTTACAAGTGAATCTGTATAAATCCCATATGCCTCTTTCCCAAACAAACTGAAAAATGGCTTTATGACAGGGGTCCATGACAATGGTATAACAAGATTTACTTAAACTGCATCATTCTCATTTAAGTTATACTGACCATTTTGGATAATATGCTCAAAAATGGAGGAAAGCACATAACACCCTTGTTTTTAAAGCTTATTTCCTCTTGTATCAGTCTTTTGTCAAAGGCAAATACTTTTACTTTTTGGATAAAACCAAGGTATAATATCAATTAACTTTTAAACCAAAAGCACAAAATGTCCCAGTTGATAGTTCTGGCATGAGTAAAGGGAAGGGACATGAAAGAATGTCAATTCCTACAAAACTTAAGTTTAGGGTCACACTTGGGAACAAAAGCATCAACAAAATAAAATATTCTCTTCTCCTATCTTCTTGACATTTTGTCACATCAGAAGAACATAACAGAGTAGCTTTCATTGCTCCTAAAAAGGGGAAAGGCACCAGTCAGAAATAGGAAAGAAAATCTTGTTAGGCTAATGGTACATGATAGAATTTCACATTAAAAAGTTTACAGATGGAGGCTGGGCATGGTGGCTCACACATGTCATCCCAGCACTTTGGGAGGCTGAGACCAGCAGATCACTTGAGGTCAGGAATTCGAGATCGGCCCGGCCAACATGGTGAAACTTCGTCTCTACCAAAAATACAAAAACCAGCCAGGCGTGGTGGTGTGTGCCTGCACTGCCAGCCACTTGGGAGGCCGAGGCAGAAGAACCATCCGAACCCAGGAGGTGAAGGTTGCAGTGAGCTGAGATAGCACCGTTGCACTTCAGCCTGGGCATCACAGCAAGACTGTCTCAAAAAAAAAAGTTTAAGGATGGAGCTTTTTTTTTTCTTTTTTTTTTTTTTTTTTTTGAGACAGAGTCTTGCTCTGTTGCCCAGACTGGAGTACAGTGGCTGGATCTCAGCTCACTGCAAGCTCCGCCTCCCGGGTTCACGCCATTCTCCTGCCTCAGCCTCCCGAGTAGCTGGGACTACAGACGCCCGCCACCTCACCCGGCTAGTTTTTTGTATTTTTGGTAGAGACAGGGTTTCACCGTGTTAGCTAGGATGGTCTCGATCTCCTGACTTCGTGATCCTCCCGCCTCAGCCTCCCAAAGTGCTGGGATTACAGACGAGCCACCACACCCGCCCTTTAGGATGGATCTTAACCCACATGTTATTTTCTCTACTTGGATGCATCCTCTGTAACTTAGTATATGTAATACTACAGATAGATTTTTTCAACATCTGCTGCCTATGGTAAGGACCTGCAACCAGGTTCTCAAAAGCAGTACCTGCCGGTTCTTAACAGCAGATGGCAATGTTGTACAAGTTAACAACGGAACTACTTTTATGCCACCCCAGAGGAAGATACAAGAAGTCAAAAGGGAAAAAAAAAATAGAACCGATTTGGGTTCATAGTAGCAGGAACATAAACAGAATAGCCTGAGATTTTAACAACGTAACTCATTCCCTCTTCCACCTTTGTACTTTATCCAGGTCAACACATCAGGATTCTCTAACAATTCCAGTATTCTGCTGCTTTACTGTAAGATACATGTAATTCTTGCCAATGTGATTAAACAAGCCCTGTAATAGTCAGCAGGGTTAAAAAGAGATTACAGAAAGGATAAACTCCTACCTACTTTCTTGGGAGATGTGGGAAAGATTTCAAGTGACAACATTTTTCATAACTGTTTATAAACATGGTCATTTATATTCACGTTTTCTCTTATTTACATTAGTTTTGACCCTTAGGCACCTCATACTCCTACAGTGATTATTGGCTTTGCTTTCATTTGTTTTGGATTTTTAAGTATTTACTCTAAATGGTCCTCCTAGATATCTATTTTATACATCATATCTCTTAATTCTCTAGATGGAACACTGAAGGACAGGAATTAAGTGACTGGCCATGCAAGAAGAGTTGGAAATTTTACTTATTTTTCCTTGGTAGAAGTTATGTTAAAAATTCAAGCAACCACGTATCTAACAGAGGAGTTTTATCTGGGATGTATAAAAACTCTCAAAACTCAATACTTAAAAGAACAAATGACTTAAATAGAAAATAGACAAAAGACATGAACAGAAATTTCAATGAAGAGGATATATAGATGACAAATTAGCATATGAAAAGATACTCAACATCATTAGCCACTGGAAAATGCAAATCAAAACCACATGTGGTATCATTACACACAGCTATGTGAATGGTTAAGATAAAAAAATAGTAGTAATACCAAACACTGGTAAGGATGTGAAGAAACTGGATCAGTCATACATTGCTGTATGAATTGTATGAGTGGCTGTATGTAAAAGGTACAGCCACTCTGGAAAAAGAGTAGGGTAGTTTCTTACAAAAATGTACATGTTTACCACACAACCCAGCAATTGCCTTTTTGAGCATTTATCCCAGAAAATGAAAATATATGTTCACATAAAAACCTGTACATGAATGTTCACAGCAGCTTTATTAGTAAGGGCAAAAAATTGAAAACAACTCTCATGTCCTTTAGTAGGTGAATAGTTAAGCAAACTGTGGTACATCCATACCATGGCATACTACTCAGCAATCAAAAGGAAATGCCCAGACTTCACTACGATGCAATATATGCATGTAAGAAATCTGCACTTATACCCCCAAATATATGAAACATTTTTAAAAGAAAAAAAGGAAGAAACTATTGATACATGCAACAACTTGGATGAATTTCAAGGGAATTATGCTGAATGAAAAAAAGTCAACCTCATAAGATTACATTCTATATAATTCCATCCATACAACATGCTTGAAATGACAAAATTACAGAGTTGGAGGACAGAACAGTGGCAGCCGCAGGTTTTGGTGAGGGGATAAGAAAGAGATGTGGCTGTGGCTGTAAAAGGGCAGTGGAAGGGATCCATGTGACAGAACTGTTCTGTCTGTCATGATGGTGGTCACATGAATCTACACATGTGATAATACTGTATAGAATTAAATACACATACACGAAAAATGTTCAAGCAGTTAAGCACGAATATTTTAATTGTCTAAAATGACATTTTCTTTAAGAGTTATCTACAGTTCGAAGCTCACTTTTATGAAGTGTCACATGCATCACCATTTTAAGAGACATAAAATCATGAAAAGATATCACCAGAAGCTACATAAACGTTTCAGCTAAGGGTAAAGAGAAAGTTAAGAGTGTTTTCGCGGCCGGGCGCGGTGGCTCAAGCCTGTAATCCCAGCACTTTGGGAGGCCGAGACGGGCGGATCACGAGGTCAGGAGTTTGAGACCATCCTGGCTAACACAGTGAAACCCCGTCTCTACTAAAAAATACAAAAAAACTAGCCGGGCGAGGTGGTGGGCGCCTGT